GTCTTCCAGCAAAGACATTCCTCCCATTCTTTGTAAGGTACAACCCATCCATCACCAAATCCCTCTCAACAGCACCATCTACGTAACCAGCCATTCACCTCCAGTATCCTGTTCTCCCTTCCAGCTCCATGGCCCTCAACATGTATAATGGAGGAGAACACCACCTGTGCCCTCAGATCTTTCACGTTCTTGCCCAGAGCTTTGTAGTCTTTGGAGATCCATTCAAGGTTTCTTCATGCCATTTCATTTGTTCTCACATGGATCAGCAGGAGTGGGTAGTGATCAGAGGTTTTGACCAGTCTCAGAATTCTCTCAGTCACATCTTGGATACACGCTCCAGGAAGACAACAAACCTCTGGCAAGGAGTAGCCTTTTGTTGCAAAAGGCCCCTTCCTGCCCAGCACAGCAGAGCACAGCACAATAGGGGGCGGGACTTGCAATCAACAGTACGGCAACTCACTCCGCCTCCAACAACTCCCAAATCACAAACAGCCCCAAACAGACTTAAGCAGAACCACACTCTATCAGGCTACAAAGAACCCAACTCTCTCTCAGCTCCCACACAGTAGCTAGGAAGGCAAAGGGAGAAAGAAAAATCCCTTACCTTGTATCAGCAATGCACCATGTGCTCTCCACTCCTTGCCTCAGCCCAGCTGACATTGATACTCTGCAATTAGTATTTACTTCAACAAAATTTTCATAGGAAGCCATGCAAGCCTTATTCAAATGCATGCAGGTTAAGAAGCCCTTCCTGGTGTGTTGCTGTCACACCAACAATATTTATTTATTTAAAATATTTATACCCAACCTGATCTCCTCAGGTGCAAGACGTATAACAAAGCAGGCTCAAAGACACAAAAGTCATCACAAGAGTCCAGTAACAAGTTAAAAACAATACACAATTAAATGCACAATTAAAAATGAGGCCAAATCAGTCTGCTTTCCACCAAATGTGCTCTGGATTAAAGCCATTTTACATGCTTTTTGAATGATGCAAGTGAAGATGCCCTCTTCACCCACTCGGGTTAGGCCCTTACTCTGGCAGTGAAAGAAAGAAATAAGAGGGCCAGACTCCCAAAACCTACATTACTTGTACAGTTTAATAGGAGTCAGTTTTGTAAAAATAAAAAGCCATTTTGTAAAACAAAACTGAGCCTAACTCCTACTTGCCTTCAGACAATCAATGGAAGTTTTACCAAGTAGATTATTTAATTTTAGCAGAGCAGTTCAAAGCAAGCACTGAATTTAAATAAAAAATATTACTATTTCAAATCAGGATTGAAGGACAGATTAAAATTCCTTCACATGCCTATTTGTACTGAAAACATAATGAATGAAAGTGTATATATCAGCATGACAGTTCTTCAGTTCAATTTTAAGGCAAATGTGAATTGTAAGGAACAAATTAAAAAAGGCCTTTGAAATTAGTTTCCTACACTCTCTCAATTACAAAATTTCCTATTTTACTTTGAGCCTTGATATTTTATGGGATAAATCGGGCAGTTACTGTTTCCAAATAAGGGAAGTATTAATAATAACATGGATTTGCATATCTGTGTTGAATGAGACACCCAAATAGCTTCCGGAACTGAAGTTACAAAATCTTACAGGATGAAGGGAGGTGACTGGGCAATCCAGGAACAAAAAGCTCCCATGTTGTATATAAGGTATCAGAGCATTTAAAAATTAACAAAACATATCCAGTAGCAAATTCTTTTGAATTCCAGAAGATATCTTGGGCTACATACTATACACACTTAGTTGGATTAAGCCACAATGAACAATGGGAAGTTTACTCTTGATTAAAGATGCTTAGATATCAGGCTACAAGTTTTGGGTATCAGTTTTGACAATTAAGATGGGTATTAGAAATGCCAGCTGGGAGAGAATAAGAAAAGTTACTGTATAATCATGAATTAGAATGTTACAAGGCTGATGCAAACAAAACTGAGTTTGCTCTTTTGAAGAAATGCAATACGGAGAGGAAACCGCAATCCAAATTTTAATTTTAGTTCTGTCCATTTTGCCTGTAGAATTTTTTTTAAACACAACCATAGAAATCTTCTCTGAGGTATTTAAAATTTTTATTAGCAAAGCAAACCAACTTTATCACAATTATTCTTACAGAACCAGTATTATGGCTGAAACTACCTTTTGTACCTCAAGAGAACTTTTTTTTCCATTTATAATTCACATGTCTCTCAAGAATAATTTTATTATCCCAAGCATGCAGCAAATACCAGTTCTAGGACTTAACACTTCACGTTTGTTATTTTTAACATATGAGTTTTTGAACAGTTACAGTTTCAGTGCGATGATTTATGCAAATTCTTTATCACCTCATGAGGATTAGTGCACTGTAATTCGATAATGGCTCTCTGCTTTAACACAGTCCCTGTTGCTCCCCAGAAAAGGAGGAATTTGATTGCAACTGACTGTTCATCCAAATCTAAAACAAGTTCAATGAACTTATCAAAGGCTTCATAAAATAATTGTTTTACAGAGAAAATAAGGGCTTTGACTTATGACTGTATCTTGTAGTTTGTCAAAGTAAATCGTATTAAATAGCTACCTGCATCAGCAAATAATTAAACTATAGGGAACTTATGCTAGAACATGGATTTATTTTCATTGTGTTAAATTAGCCTGCACCAATAACAACCATTAAGTTACAGTGGTACACAATGCATGATGACAGAGCAGTACCTAAATTGATTTAGGAATAAGCCATTTTGAAAGCAAAAAATACAATATAATTGCTTATAGAAACCAAATAAGTTTGATAATTAACAGTACCCAGATTTCAGTTAATAGTCACACAGTAGGAAACCCCATCTCTGATTTTGTTATGACACACTGTTATTTGTTAAGTTATTTCCAGATTACATATTATGCAGGTGGCCCAGTGTGTGTGTGTGTGTGTGATTTTTACGGATCTAGGTCATCCACAGAAATCCATCTGAACAGAAGTGTTCCCTGTATAGGTACTGTAGGATCAAAGAGTGGAGGATTCTAGAAAAACATAATAAGCTATTTGCTTAACAGAACTCAGAAGGTTCTGCATAGCCCAGGCTTGCCTGGTCTTGTCAGATTTCAGAAGCTAAGCAGGGCTGGCCATGAGCAGTATTTGGATGTGAGACCACCAAGGAACACCAGGGTCACTACACAGAGGAAGACAATGGCAGTTTCAGTTTATTGTATTGATTATGGGTCATAATATATAACATAATCTTCCACATACTAAAACTACAAAGGTAGCAGAATTAACAAAATTAATTAACAATTAACAAAATTACAAATATAATACAGGACTAAACCGTATAAAATCTGCCCAGTTTAGAAAGTTTAAAAAGTTCAAAACAATTACAAATGTAATACAGTGGCAGGCAATGGGGAAACACCCCTGAATGCCTCTTGCCTTGAAAACCCTAAAGGGTCACCCTAAATCAGCTGTGACTTGACAGCAACAGCAACAAAAAAGCCCTCAGAAGAACACTCACTGAATTACTGCCGACACCAGTGGGGACCAACCCAGAGCTGAGTCTGTGCAAATTAGTACTGTGGATCTAAGCACTTATTCAATGCTTTCAAAGACCTTCATATTTCCTTAGGATACATTTGTGTGCAAAGCTTTTTTTAAAAAAAAATCTATATACTATAGACTCTGGGATCTCATTATATACTCAAGGCAACTAAACTTAACTCACAAACACATATATGCAAAAATAATGTTAGGACAACATTTGGAAGAAATATGAAAAACTGCACTTGCTATTCCACAGTAGTTTTAAAGCACAATGCATAGGTAGATGCCCTTCAATATGAGATATAAAAACAGGTCTCAACTCCCTCCAAATTTAACAAACTAAAGTATTCCTGTGAAAGCTGTCCTCCATTGTTTGGCTGTCCTGGAGTTAAAGCATTAGCCATGAAGGAGCGTGCTGCAGTGAATGGGAATTTGGAAGACAGAGATCCTAAAATGTGGTCATCGGAAGGTAGTTCAGAACACGTGCTGATGGTTTAAAGGTTCTCAGAGAAGCTATTCCAGTGGAAATCATCACACCTGACATGGAAGCTGTATAAAACTTATAGGTTTTCAATTAATCCTTTGCAAAAAGAATGTTAACAGTGCAGCCCTAAGTAGAATCGCACAGGTTTAAGCCCACTGACTTCAGTGGGTTTACAAAGGTGTAACTCTGTTTAGGATTGCACTGTAATAGTCTCATAAAGCTGGACACATAGTTTATCCTTGCTATCCCTGTTTTCTATTGATAATTTTTCTAGTGTTAAATGTTTTAATTGCTCCCCCCCACACACACACGGAAATGAAATTACTTTTTCCTTTTGGAACTTGATACAATGATACTAAACACAGTTTCTGACAAAATTCTGTGGCCCTAAATTAATTTTTTTTAAATTCATCCTATAAATAAATGAGCAAAAATTACCTATCAGCAAAAAATTGCATAGATTTATTTGCGATCTGTTCACTTCTATCAGTTCCAAGTAAGAATTTGAAAGCTTAAAATTCTCTTCCAAATGGTTTGATTTATTTTTCTTTCCCCCCTCCCCACAGGAATCTATACCTTTTAAACCACCAACTTTTACTGTTCGTTCTTTGCAGTTTAATTTGAAATTTGTAAAGTGAACAACTTACAAATACGTACACACAGAGAGAGGGTGCTTGATTTTGTTGTTGTTTTAAAAACTGCAGTTTGCCTTAGGCTACAGCTTTATTACATCGAGGAAAGAAGGGAAACAGAAGCCAGGAGAGTAGAGTTATAGAAACTGACTTTATATAAACAGTGAGAGAAGAAACTTTTTCCCCCATGGCCACCTACAAAGTAGCTACTTTCCTATTAGCACAACTTCACCTTGTGTTCTTAGTACATCATCCAGGGACTGATCTTGCTAATTCTAAGCACATTATATATAGTTTCAGGCTCCTAGCTGTCAAACATAGATCAGATTTTTTAAAAAGAAAGAAAATGGAAACATACCTAAATTGACAAAGCTCATGACCATGTCTGCATCATTCAGAAAGTTGGCATCATGCAGGCTAGCTAACGGAGGGCTCTGTGTAGTCAATGGAGCTGTACGTGATAACTGTATTCTTCGAGAGAATCCATTTGGAGATGCAGGGTATCCCTTCCTTAACCCTCTGCTCTCGCCTCCCAGAGGTCCCCTTAGCGAATACTCCAGTTCTTCAGTCTCATCTTCATTGGTCATAGCATTGTAGAGGTCCAGCATGAAGAGAGGGGCAGAGGAAGCTTGTTTTCCAGGTGAGAAGGGTCTGGGCCTGTGAGGTAAGCCCAGGATAGAGAGAATCTCTCTCTGGATCTCTTTCCTTTCATGGTTTCGAAGCCTCCTATAAATAAAACTGGAGTGGACGTGATTATCTCCTATGCTTCCCTTAGCAGAGTCCATTAAAATCCAGTAATTCCAGAGTAAGCTCACTAGAACTTTGAGAACAGTTTGGTCCATTTTTTAAAAAAAACAAACAAACAATAAAAGATGCAATAAACTAAAAGAAAAATTCCTTTTTTTCCCTGCTGATCTCCTCTGAGGTCTATTTTCCCTGTGGCCAGAGGAAAAACAAAAAGGTTGTGGATTACCTATTCTTCATGTCAATGTTGTCATCTCCACACATAACATCTTGGCGGTTTTATTCTCTCCCCCTTTTAAAATATTAACAGGATAAGCTGGCAGTTGTTTCTAAGAAAGCTGAAACTCAGACTTCCAGATTTCCACTGCTGTTATTGTTTTTTCTGCATTGATAGAGCAGAAGACCAGACCTTGGTCAGTTGATGTAGGCATTCCTATATTAAAAAAAAAACTTTAAAATAATCAGAGATTTGGGATATGGTTGTTAACTAGCAAGAGATGATCTTCAGTCACTCAGAGTAATCTTCTTCTGCTGTGCTTTCAAATGAATTAATTAACTCTCCTCTTCTCCCACCTGGCGTTCTTTCCTGAATCACAGCTCTCTGTCTTAATCTGCGACTTGGAGTATAACATCTATTTTCCCCAGTAGCCTGCTGAGAACTGTAACATCTTTAGACTCGCTTTAATATCCAGCAAATCTGAAACATGTACCAAGCACTTAAAGGCCTTTAACTCAAGGAAGGTGTGGGGGAGTCCCTTCTGTAAATCCACCCAGCCTCTTTCAGTTCCTTAACTGTTATTTCCACCTCTAGCAGGCAAAAACATAGCAGCTCCCTTCAAGAGATCTAAAAGCTAATGTAAGCACAACCCTGCTGGGAAAGAAGAGGCTTCTCATTGTAATTTGAAACGGGCAAAGTGAGGGGGGAAATGGCTTAACCCTTCCTCTGCCAAACAAAGTTACTCCCCCCCTTCAGTTTACACTTCTGTCTAATAGTGTTTGATAATGACCCCTTCAAAAGAACTACGGAACAAAATGTAATTTACAATCCATATGTAGCAGATTCAGCCATAGGAGGATTTTTAATTCCACTGTCATAATATATTCAGCTTCTTTCCCCCCAAAATTCTCCCTAAGTCGTTTAAATAATTAAGAAATATTCCTGCCAAAATTAAAACTTTAAAGTCCCACGGATTTCAAAGATGGAGATTTAGATTCATTCTTAACTCTTCAGTTGCAGCCCATAGGACTTTAAAAGTTGGATTGTGCCTTTCCATTGTTTCTTTTTTTAAAAAAAGCTCATTTTTAAATGAGAGCTTCTCGAAAGAGTATTATTATTGAGAACATTTTGTTATATATTAGCAAACTCTTAGAGTTTCTTTGCTTTTGCTGTCCAGGAGCGTAATGCTCTCCCAGGACCATAACGGGGGAGACAGTCCCATAGATTCCAGTATTCCATTTGTAGTACATTGTGCAACTATATAATCTAAACTAGGCTGCTACTATAATTTTTACTAGACATTTTAGAAAGTGTCCATGGAACAACAGAGACTGCAGTATGTTTTAACAGTCCAGAAACACAACTCTTCAGTTTGAATAAAAGTGAATTAATAATAAATAATAATGACTATTTTATTACTAATAACAATCTTCTTCAGATGTGAGCAATGACTCACAAAAGCTCATACCCTACCACAGATTTTGTTAGTCCTTAAGATGCTACTGGACTCTTTCTCTTTTCTACTGCTCCAGACAGACTAGCATGGCTACCCATCTTGACCTGTCTTTACTGGGAAAGCCTTATTTATTATGCACTTTGAAATTCAAGAGACTTAGGGTGCAATCACATGCTAAATAATACACTATCAATCAACTTTCAATGCACTTTCAATGCACTTTCCAACTGGATTTTGCCAGTTCACATAGTAAAATCCAGTTGGAAATTGCACTCAAATTGGATTGAAAGTGCATTATTTAGTGTGTGTGATCGCAGTCTTAGAGGCTATTTTCATCACCCTTGTCATTGTGGCAGCCACAGATCATAGTTGATTCCCAGCTGTGTGTGTATGAAAGCAGATGCCATGCAGAGAACTCAGTGTGCCATTTCAGATACGGGACATGCTACATTTGGACTGGAAAGGTATAAATACGGACAAAGTATTAGCAGTGCATGTGTGTTTTCCAATAAGATCACAAATGGGTGAAATGGAGTATTCTTTGCCCCCAAGCCATGCTCCCAATGTAACTGATCCCCATCCCAAATTGCTATTTGCCCCAATAAATGAGTTTTCTATTGGAGACAAATTATAGCTTAGAGAAGGGGATTGTACATAAAGAAAATGGTACAGGGAAAATAATTAACCTTATCACCACAGTCCCAATCCAGTACTTCCCTCATTTACAGTATTGTCAGATTGGAATTACTGGCATCCTTTGCAGCTGGTACAGGCAGAGCAGTCAGTTATGGATTTGTCCCTAGCCTTCTTCTTTGCAGCCAGAGGTCCCCAACCTTTTTCAGCCTGAGGGCACCATTGGAATTCTGACACAGGGTGGTGGGCATAACCACAAAATGGCTGCCAATTGAGTTGGAAGCAACCACAGAATGTTTGCCAAAGGAGGAGAAGTCAGTCACAAAATATCAGGGAGTAATGTTATGCAATTACTGTACTAATGACTTCAGCATTTCAGGCAGAATCTCTCCTTAACACGATGCCTTTTAAAATGAACACATTCTTTAAAAAATAGTTTCCTGCATACATGGACCTTACCTTCAGTCATGTAGTGAAGATCCTTGTGCTGTGATAGCAGCTGCTGCCAAAACAGTATTCTTTTGAATCTGCATGGCCACTCAGATCTCCAGTCAGAAGACCTGCTAGGCAAAAGTCCCACCTGGCCCTGCCCACTTTCTAAAAACAGTTGGTGGGGGCCAGAGAAGGTATGGGCAGGTACCATGGCACCCATGAGGGCCGTACTGGGGACCTCTAATTTAAGTACTGCAGCATGTACTTAACATGTAACTATGCAGGTACCAACCTAACGCAATCTCTCCCTTTGGTGGTGTATTTACAGCAACAGTAAGAATACCCAGTGCAGGAAAGAAATCTTGCCACACACACCCCTTTCCTAAAACCTACTGCTGATCATACTAGTGATCTTTTAAGGGACCACAACACAAGATGGCTTTTGGCCACATGTAGAAGGTATTTGCTCACCACGGGGTAATTAATTACCTACAGCCATCCCCAAATGACCCCCTCATGTCGTGGCGAGGGGGCTTGAGCAGTTCAATGAAGCTGTGGGCTATGCCGTGAAAAGCCACCCAAGACAGACAGGCCACAGCAGAGAACTCAGACCAAGAGTGATCCCCCTGGAGAAGGAAATGGCAACCCACTCCAGTACTTTTGCCAAGAAAACCCCATGGACAGTATCAAAAGGCTAAAAGATATGACACCGGAAGATGAGCCCCTCAGGTCGGAAGGTGTCCAATATGCTACTGGGGAAGAGCAGAGGGCAAGTACAAGTAACCCCAGAAAGAGTGAAGCGGCTGGGCCAAAGCCGAAAGGACGCTCAGTTGTGGATGTGTCTGATGGTGAAAGGAAAGTCCGATGCTGCAAAGAACAATACTACATAGGAACCTGGAATGTAAGATCTATGAATCAAGGTAAGCTTGACGTGGTCAAAAATGAGATGGCAAGACTGAACATCGATAGCCTAGGAATCAGTGAACTAAAGTGGACAGGAATGGGCGAATTTAACTCAGAAGACCATTATATCTACTACTGTGGCCAGGAATCTCGTAGAAAAAATGGTGTGGCCTTTATAGTCAACAAGAGAGTGCAAAAGGCAGTACTGGGATACAATCTCAAAAATGACAGAATGATTTCTGTCCGATTCCAAGGCAAACCATTCAACATCACAGTAATCCAAGTCTATGCCCCAACCACTGATGCAGAAGAGGCTGAAGTGGACCGGTTCTATGAAGACCTACAACACCTCCTAGAACTAACACCAAAAAATGATGTCCTCATCATCATAGGGGACTGGAATGCTAAAGTAGGAAGTCAAAAGGTAACCGGAATAACAGACAAGTTTGGCCTTGGAAAGCAAAATGAAGCAGGGCAAAGGTTAACAGAGTTTTGTCAAGAGAACACACTGGTCATAGCGAACACCCTTTTCCAACAACCTAAGAGGCGACTCTACACATGGACATCACCAGATGGGCAACACCGAAATCAGATTGACTATATAATTTGCAGTCAAAGATGGAGAAGCTCTATCCAGTCAGTAAAAACAAGACCTGGAGCTGACTGTGGTTCAGATCATGAGCTACTCATTGCAAAATTCAGACTTAAACTGAAGAAAATTGGGAAAACCACGAGGCCATTCAGGTTTGACCTAGATCGCATCCCTGATGAATATACAGTAGAGGTGAAGAATAGATTCAAGGGTCTGGATTTGATAGATAGAGTGCCTGAAGAACTATGGACAGAGGTTCGTGACATCGTACAGGAGGCAGCAATCACCACCATACCAAAGAAAAAGAAATGCAAGAAAGCAAAATGGCTTTCTGATGAGGCTTTACAAATAGCAGAGGAAAGAAGGAAAGCGAAAGGCAAAGGCGAAAAGGAAAGATTTACCCAACTGAACGCAGATTTCCAGAGAACAGCAAGGAGAGATAAGGAGGCCTTCCTGAATGAACAGTGCAAAGTAATAGAAGAAAACAATAGAATGGGAAGGACTAGAGATCTCTTCAAGAAAATTGGAGAAATCAAGGGAGCGTTCCATGCAAAGCTGGCCATGATAAAGGACAAAAACGGTAGGGACCTAACAGAAGCAGAAGAGATTAGGAAAAGATGGCAAGAATACACAGAAGAACTATACAAGAAAGACCTCAATGTCCTTGACAAACACGACGGTATAATCACTGACCTTGAGCCAGACATCCTGGAATGTGAAGTTAAATGGGCCTTAGAAAGCATTGCTAACAACAAAGCTAGTGGAGGTGATGGTATTCCAGCTGAGCTATTCAAAGTCTTAGAAGATGATGCTGTTAAAGTGCTGCACTCCATTTGCCAGCAAATTTGGAAAACGCAACAGTGGC